TATCACCCAGGAGCAGCAGCAGCGTTAATGGCTGAGGAGGGTCTGGGGTCTCCTCCCTGCAGGCAGAGAGGGCTTTGCTCCCACCTGCCATGTGGAGCAGTCGGTCATTCCACTGGCAGGACATCTGCTCTCCGGAGGGATCTGAGCCAGGGCTGGGTCCTTCCCGCCCAGAGGTAAGAGGTCCCGTAATTAACCTAGCAGGAGCAGAGCCAGGGACACTTCCCCCATCTTTCTTCTGGGGAAGAGAGGAAATATTTTGTTCACCTCCTGTTTCCCCATCACCTGGTGTCCTGGGCCAACCTGCTAAATCCTCTAGCTAATGCATTCAATGATACTCCATACCCCACTCAGAAATAGCGTTGCATATCACTGCGATGCCCCCAGACTTGTAATCTTATCTCCTCTTGGTCCATTATTGCAGAATCCATTAGCATTTTTCTTTTTGAAGGATTTTTTTTTTGCAGTAATACCCCCTCCATCCAAACTCCTGATGGATCAGTGCATCTCTACAGTGTTGCTGGTTGCTGTTCATTATAGCATGATGGTTACACAGTCCCAGCCGAGATCAGGGTCCCATTGTCTTTAGATGCTATTCAGCCTACAGTGGGGGAATCCTGAAATGTTAAAGCGAAGGTGTTCTGCTTGCTTCGCTCATGGTAACTGTGCAGCGACGGAGCAGGGGAACGGGATTGTGGGCAGAAGAAGAGATCCTAGCTGCTGGAGAGGTGCTGGGGGGACCTTGACCTGTAGTAACCTCTTGCACTTGAGTGGTGGCCAGGGTTTGAGCATGGGCCTGGGCTGCACATGGTGAGGGGCACTTCTCTCTTCGCGGTGGTTGCAGGGCACCCAGCCAGGAGCCCAGGGAGCCTGCGCGCTTGCCCCCAGACAGCAGGTGTAACTTGAGTTGGACTCGGCCCGGGCTGGTATGCCGTTGCGTGCTGATTGGCTGGAAGGTTGTCCCACTAGGTTATTTTTAACAGAGCCGTCCAACTGGTTCACGTGGTGGTGTCAGGGGAGAGGAATTTCGGGAATGTGGTAATTTGGAGGAGGACCGTGCCCTTCTAGAGGGAATGGCACTGCCTCTGGTGAATCACCAGCTGGGACAGCCTTGCAGAGACGGCCCTGCGGTGCCTGCCTGTACCAGAGGGCACCAGAGACCTTGACCCACCAGAAACCGGGCTGGGGGTGGAGAAGGTACCGCAGACAGACAGCCTATTTGGGCCAGCACCTGAGATGCAGCAGGCACAAGCTACCATATGTGCACTGATGCACACTACAGAAATGGGGTTGTGCACTAGTGCTGGACACACACACGCGCTCTTACTTGGGCACAGTACAGAGGAGGGACACTGTGCTACACAGGTGTGCTGGGCGTGGGGGGCGGGGTGGCATGTGCCCACAGGGGCAGGAGACGGGCACAACATTCAACAGCTGTGTACAATAGGTGGATGTATTGCGCACAGCTCAGCTTCCCACAGGTACGCTGCAGAGAAGTGACATGCAGTTAGTGGAGAGGAAGAGAGAACAGGGCCTCCCCGGGGTGAGACATTGAGCCGCGCAGAATGCCATTCACTCCCATCGGAGGAAGCAGCCAGATCCCAGCTCACTGTCCTGGGACAGTGTTTCTCTGACCTCCCTCTTTTTCCTCTCCCCTTCCAGGTCCATTTTCCACCTTCCTCTTCCTCCGTCTCCCCTGATTTCCTCCTCTATGCCCTGCCGCCAGCTCTCTCTTTGTTTCCCCTTCATCCACATCCTGAGGTCTGCAGGCCTGTTGTTCCCTGCTTTTCTCCATTGAGCTCTCATGCTCTTGCTTCCCACGCCCTCCTGCCATGCTGCGAGGCAGGCCGTGTCTGCAGTACTGCTTGTCAGGTCCTGCTGTTCTGCCTCGTGCCCAGGGAAAGTCCCGGCCAGACCCTAGGGTCCTCAGGGCCCTCATACATCATGTTTATTAGTCCCAGGGGAACGCCTCCGCTCTTGTGCTGTAACAGCCTATCAGGGAGTGAGAGGCCCACACTGCCAGTCTGATTGAATGTGTCAGGTGGGCACACGCCATGTACTTAAATGATACCTCTCCAGGGTACAGCTAGTGCCGGGCCCTAAGAACAACTGTATAGCTTCAAGGATTCACGAGTAGAACAGTGCAGGGACGAGAGAGAAATGGTGTCCAGGGTGCTCAGACCTTGAGAAACCCAAAGGGGAGAGTTCAAGGGAAGATCTCAGCTCCTAAATATGTACCAGGAGTGGCAGGCACGATCCCAGATCATTAGCAGTTGTTCCCTGATTCGAAATGGCTGCAGTCAAAGGAAGTTAATGTGCGGTTTGATTTGGAGAAGCAGCCGATGAAATGCATCTTATGATGTCAATGTGTTCAGCATTGAAGGAGCAGCCTCAGAAAGCATCTCCAGGCTTCTGTTGGGTCCTGATTTGATAGCTAATAAATACAGTAGGAGTGAGGACTGGCCAAGGTCAAGTCTCCCCTTCCTACCTCAGAGCTTTGTAGCTCTAGGCTTGGCACGCTGCAGGTGGAGACTGAAGACAGTGGGGCCCCCAGTTATGATTCGTACAGTATGCCATTGGCTTTATTTGCCCTTGTTGCAAAGAAGGCTAACAGCATCCTGGGCTGCATTGGTAGGAGTGTTGCCAGCAGGGCAAGGGAAGTGATTATTCCCCTCTATTCAGCACTGGTGAAGCCACATCTGGAGTACTGTGTCCAGTTTTGTCCCCACCACTACAGAAAGGATGTGGACAAGTTGGAGAGAGTCCAGTGGAGGGCAACAAAAATGGTGAGGGGGCTGGGGGACATGACTTACAAGGAGAGGTTGAGGGAACTGGGCTTATTGAGTCTAAAGAAGAGGAGACTGAGAGGGGATTCAGTAGCAGCCTTCAACTACCTGAAGCGGGGTTCAAAAGAAGATGGAGCTGGACTCTCCTCGGTGGTGGCAGATGACAGAACAAGGAGCAATGGGCTCAAGTTGCAGCAAGGGAAGTTTAGGTTGGATATTAGGAAGAATTTTCTCACTAGGAGGGCTGTAAAACACTGGGACAGGCTCCCCAGAGAGGTGGTGGACTCTCCATCCTTGGAGGTTGTTAAGACCCGGCTGGACAAAGCTTTGGCTGGGATGATCTAGTTGGGGATGGTGCTGCTTTGAGGAGGGGTTGGACTAGATGTGACTTCCTGAGGTCCTTTCCAACCCTCATTTTCTATGACTCTAGCACTGCTGCAGCAGGGCATGGGGTCAGCTGGAGCTGCCTTCTACAGGGTTGCAGTCCAGCTATCCGTTATAGGGAGCTGGCTTCAATTCAGAGTAAAGATGAGCGCTGGTGCCAGAGGTTGGCAGGCCCAGCAACTCAAAGGGAGCGTGCATCGGTGTGTGGAAGCACGGCAGAGCGGGAAGGGCACCGACTCTCCTCCCAGCTCTGCCACAGACCTGCCGAGTGACCTTGGGTGAGTCACTTCCCCTCTCAGTTGCCTGTCTCCCCATTTGTAAAATGGCTTCTCTCACAGGGCCTGCGAGGGCTGGTTAACATTAACACCCCACCCGCTACAGCGATGGGGACCTACCCCGTCCCTCAGATGGGAGTGCAGCAGCCCTCTGTGGGTGGGAGGGACCGCTCAGGTCCCCAATCAAGAAGGATCTGGGGTCTTTGGGGGCACAGGGTTCAGGAGAGGGTCTGCTCCACCTCTCCTCTATGGGCTGCAGTACAAAGAGAGCCTGCTCCCTGTCATTGGGAGCATTGTTACTCTCGCCTATGGCACACGCCTCCTCTTCCCCTCCCCGCCAGGCGTGAGACACAGCTGACCCCATGCAGCACCTGGCACTGTCTTTTGACGAGCGGCTGGCGGGAGCGCGGGGGCGTGAGGAGGGGGTGAAGGGGCTTGCGCTTCTTCCCTTACAGCTCAAGGCCTGTCCGGAGAGTCCCCTCCCACTACCCCCGGAAGGCGCGGGGCGTTGGGCGCTGCTACAACAGTTGCTTGGCTTTTTTAGTTTCTTTCTTTTTTTTTTTTTTCAAACCTTAAACTAGCTCCAAGGGCATTTCGACTCGTTGCAGCCACCACCATCTGGTCCATTAAAATAAATCTGGCGTGCTTCCCCGCCCCCGTGTGTGTTTGGGGTGGGGGGGACGAGGGGAGAAGAAAGCTCCCAGCTGCTCTGACGTTTGAATTTAGATTGGCCACAGCTGGCCTGTAAAATGTGGAGCAAAAGCACTCCTGCTTCAAATTAGGCTGAGGATGCTGGGAAATGCTGTTTAAAAGGCCAGCGTGTCTGCAAGCGCTTGCTGGGCACCAGGGAATTGAAGGGGATGGACAGAGGGGCAGCGGGATAGTCGGTAGTGTTTTTGGGGTGCTGGGGGACGACCCCAAGTCCTGCTCCATGTGTGCTTCCTCGGGCGCTAGAGCTTCCTGGTGCAGCCTCTAAAGATGGCCCTTGATGGCACCCTCCCCAGGGCCCTTCAAGAGCAATCATCCCAGCAGACCAGGCTCCTGGTGGAGCGGGAGCTGCAAACTAGCTGTGCATCGTGCCCTGGCTGTCCTTGGCATTGCCATCTTCCAGCGAGGGTGAGAGGGAAGGAGCCCTGCCTTCATGACATGAAGACAGGATGTTTCTAGGGCAGGGGTGGGCAAAATGGCAGATCCGGCCGGCAGCCAGACTTCATTTCCCGGCAGCCCCTGCCCGTGTCACTGCGGCTGGTTTCCATGGAGCGGCGGTGCCGTGGGGGCCAGGGTTTCTATGGAGACCGGCCCCAGCAGCACTGGCAAGGCGCGGGGCTGGGCAGGGAGCTGCTCCACAACCGGGGCTGGGATCTTGCAGTGGTGACAGCGTGGTCCGAAGCCGGGGCAGAGCTGCGATCCGGGGCATGTGAGCAGCAGACCGCAGCTGTGCCCCGGCTCTGGACCACGCTGTCACCGATGCAAGATCCCAGCCCTGCAGCTCCCCACCCAGCTGTATGCCCTGCTGGCACTGCTGGGGCTGGTCTCCATGGAAACCCTGGCCCCGCACTCACCGCGCCACTGCTGCTGGGGTCTCCATGGAAACTGGCCCCAGCACACAGGCAGGGGTTGCTGGGAAATGGAGTCCACCATGGGCCGGACCTTGCCCACCCTTGTTCTAGGGTATCTCGTGCCTGCTGGACCCTGCCATCTCATCAGTACAAGCCGCCCCTATTCTGTATCACGGCCACCTGAGCACCCTGTGGGTGGTAAGATGACCTCTGCCTCCTCTCTTGTGATCACTTTGAAGTCCTAAGGCATCCTGCCCACCCCTCTGCTCACAAATACTGCGACCTCTTGGCCTTCTACATCCACCCTGCCCATCTTGCCTTAACAGCTGTCATGACAGTGCCACCTTCTGGCAAAGCCTTGTCACTTGACAGGGCCTGTCGGAGAGGGATTTGGGGTTGGGTTGGGCTGGGCTGGGATGGAGATGCTGGGGATAGAGTGAGGTAGACCCCACCTTGAGGAGGGAAGGGAAATGTCTGGGTGATGCAGGGCAGACAAGGAACATGTTGCTCCTGCATCGTGCCTTGTACTTACTCTTTCCTTTGCTTTAGGTCGTAATGAATTGATAGCAAGATACATCAAGTTGCGGACAGGGAAAACACGGACGAGAAAACAGGTGAGAAAAGCATTTCGTTTAATTTAAAGAATGGGTCTGAGTGAGAGACTTGTGGGAAAGCACAGTCCTGGAGGGACTGGTCCACAGCCTGTTGAAATCACTGGGCGCCTGGCTCATTTCACTGGGCTTTGCATCGAAGCTGAGGAGGAAATGGGGCTAGCAAGTAAAGCCCAAACAGAGTCAGGATACCTGGCTCCTGTTTCTGGCCATGCCACTACTTTGCCATGTGGCTTGTGTTTTCCCATCTGTTGGATGCTGGGGGGATAAGGCTGAGATGTTTCCCGGTGGGATGGTGTGGTTGGCTTACTGTGCTTAAAGTTCTTTGGGACCCTTGGCTGGGGAGCTGCTGTTTCAGAAAAAGGTATGTTAATGATGGGTGAGACCCCCATGCCTTCGCTTATGAAGAACTTTTGATCCCCTGCATTCATAAGACTTGACACGGGGTCCTTGTCCCCTCCTACGAATGCCCAGCCGGCTGGATAATCAGTGAAGAGTGATCCTCAGAGTACCTGCAACGTAGGGTTCAGTTTAGGTCAGCCCCTCTCAGTGACCCTGCTTATCCCAGCCCTGCTCCAGCCCCCAGGGCAATGCTGCCTACCAGGTGCTCTGTGGGGCCAGCCGTACTCTGAGGGCAGTCTTATGCCTGGAAACCTGAAGAGTAGACACCACCATGACAATGGAAATCACTGAAGGGCATGGGAAATGTTCCCTGGACCTGCCAAAGCCATTTTGATGCCAGGAGTTCCTGACAAACCCTGGTTACACCCAGCCCTGTTGCTTTTAAAGGCCTCTGGTCCTAAACCCAATAATCTCCAGACTGTAGACTAGATCTGAGCTATGCAAATTGGCCTCTCCTGGGGTGTTTGCTCCTCTCTTCAGATGCCAACCTAGAGTCCATCTCTTTCTATTCTTCTTACTGCAGTAGGGTAGGAGGGGCTGATGTCTCTCAGGTACTTTTATGTCAGTGTCTTAGGAGCCCATCCCACTGGCAAGCTCTCCCCATGTTCCCTACAAAAGGTCATGGTTTTGGTTAGGCTATAGTGAAGGACTCCACGATTCATCATGAAGCTCCTCATCCTCTCCTTCCAGCTAACTTGGTGCTTCCCCACCGCATCCTCATTTCTTTTATTGGGTGTGTGTGCCAGGTAGGTGACTGGCACTGCTGAAAATCAGCCTGCAGAGAGCCAAACCTACTGCCTACCCTTTGAGACTATGCAGGCTGTGCCTGGTTTGTGGAACCAAGTGAATATGGGTCTGCTATCCAGGACTGTGTCTTTTATATACAAGTGTCTCATGGCCAGTAACCATCCCATGCTGCCCAGGCTTGAGACCTCCCTGGTTGTCACTGGTCGGTGGAGAGAGTGCGCCTCGTTGATGGTGTTGGCACAGAGGGTACTGTGACACAGCTGGGGTCCTGGCAAAGAAAGAGGTGACATTTCTTGTGGGAGAGAGTATGGGGGATCTGACCTCCACTCACCCTTTGCTATAGCCTGGCTTGTTCCATCAGAGCAGGCAGCTTGCTGGAGAAAGGAGCCATCACGGTGGCTGGTCCATATCATGGTAGAAAGGGTGATCTAATCGACCGGGAGATGTGGGTTCAGGTCCCAGCTTGGAGGAGGACTTCCGGTGTGATGCTGGGCAGGGCACTTGATGGGTCCTGTCTCAGTTCCCCAGATATGAAGTGTGGTTGAGGTCTTGGGATGTCACACAGGGTTGTTGGATGGGTACCATCCATCAGTGATTCCTTTTGTGGAGAAAGGGCCAAATGAATGCCTTGAATAGATGGACTGAGGTGGTTGATGAACTAAGGTGCCTTGTTGCTGAGGTGTGTGGTAGACAGACCAAACTCACATTGGCTTTTTCTAACTCTGGCCAGTGGACAACCTGTAGTGGAAACTTTCCTTTGTGTTAAAGATCCCCACTGGATTTTCCTAGGGAGGGGAGTTAGGGCAAGCATTTCCCAGTGGAAAAGTGGCATGGGAGAACCTGGTTATATGCCAGGCAGCCTTCAGTCCTGCTCTCAGTGGAGACTTTGAACCAGGAGCAAAGCAAACTTTTGGATCTTGCTCAGAAACATCTGACCATGTCAGTGAAGTAGCAGCTGAAAGGTTGTGACTAGCAAGTGAATCAGTGCGTGAAAAACAGCAACACCTTCCTACGCAGCCCTTCTCCCCAGCTGGATTCAGAAACTTGCCTCTTGCTATATGAAACTGGGAGGGGGTAAGCTGGGATCCATTCTAACTCCTGCATCTTCCCTGGGATAGTTAGCCATGCCACAGCTGCAGGACCAGGTGCTGCCATGCAGGACCCCACAGGGCTGGCCCACGTGTGTTTTAAAGGCAGAATTTGCCTTTCAGAGTTTCTCTTATTCTGATGGCGATGGCCAAGAAGTGAAAAGACAAGGCTGACTTTGCAGGGCTGGCTGTTACAAGCCATCTCTCTTTGTTTGCCAAGAAACTGCTGAGAGAGAATGCACTTGGAGCCCACAATGCCATTCATTGCAGAGTTGGAATGACGCTTGGGGGACAGAAATGCAGCAGTGTGTGTAGGATGGTTACAGAGCACTGGCCCATGCTCTGAGCAATGACCTTAGCTGGTATAAAGCAGCATAACTGTGTTTGACTTGGTGGACGAGCCTGATTTGCCCTGCTGAAAATCTGGCCCCATATCCACAGCCAGCATTGCTCACTTTCCATTGGAGGAATTCTAGCTTTCAGGAACTTCGTCCAGCTCAGGAGCCTCCGCTGCTTTCCGCACCGGCCCCATGCATCTCAAGCGCTTGATGCGGTGTGGGATCATGTCTTCATTCTCTTTGTGTTTTCCTTTTTGAATGGCTTGGCGGGCTCTAGGTGTCCAGCCATATACAGGTTCTAGCTCGGAAGAAGGTGCGGGAGTACCAGGTTGGCATCAAGGTACGTTGGAGACTCTGCCCATGGGTTCGTGGCGTATGAGCATGGGCAGCCCCCTCTCCTTCCTCTCCTTTCCTCTGGTTGACGGCTCTGCTGTTTTCCCTCTCCTTCTGCTTTCTTTCTGCAGGTCTCTAGCCACTTGCAGGTTCTAGCCAGACGGAAATCTCGCGAGATTCAGTCCAAGCTGAAGGTACGCGCTCCCCAGCTTCTCCCCCCACCACGCCCTGCCTGGCTGTGCTGACAACTAACATACTCAGCTCTGTGGTGTGCTGCTTTCTTTCCTTTATATGTCTTTCCCCTCTCCCTTTGTTCCTGGAACCAGATGCTTTTCAGTGGCCACCTGGGGGAAGGTGCAAGGTGCCCTTGGAGGATGGCTGGAGAAGACCATGACAGGATGCCACAACTGGAAAGGGTCTGGCTAGGAGGCTGTCAGTGCCAGATGGGGGTGTCATTGGAGAACCTCAGAAGAGGGTCCTCTGAGCCAGCCACCAGGTGGTAAATACTGTGCCTCCTTCATGATACGCTTGCTTGGAGGGAGGGAGCGTAGGGTTGGTAGGTGCCAACTGCTGGCCAGAGACCTCTTAGGTAGGAGGAACATAGGAATGTAGTCTCAGGCTTCCCTTCTGCCCATGAGCTCATGCACCGTGCGAAGGCATCACACTTCCAAGGCCTCCATGAGGTTCAGAGATGCACCACAGCTTCTGTGGGAAGGGGACCATGAGGGAGCAACGTCAACTGGAGCTCACCTAACCTTAGGGGACTTTATGGTAGCCCTGGGCTACAGGGCCAGGAAGGTGTAGTGCATTCCCAGCTGAAACAGGATACCTGCAGCATGGGCCAGGGTGGGATTGGAATGGGATGCAGAGCCAGACACCTTCCCCCTTGTAACAACCTCCTTAGGCTAAGAGTTTCCATTCCCCTGAATTCAAGCTTTGGGTTGGGGAACAAGGGCAGAGCAGAGGTGCCTCCCAGGATGCTGAGAGACTTGCAGGCTGGTAGCCGTGGCCATGCTTGGCTTCTGTGGCCCACGTATATAACTGACCCAGTAGGGACAGGGATACTCAAGCTGTGGGGCCTGCATGATGCAGCCCCTACCCCAGTCCATATGGAGACCTCTGGAGTGATGAAGCCTGTGCCTCTGTTGGAGAGGAGCACACTCTCTCTGTGGGGTGAGCATGTGATATTCTCTCAGCCTGTATGGGGAGATGTTTAAGCTGCAAAGCCCATGTGGTGGGATGTACTAGGTAGTGTAGAGGGGTGCACACACCCTGCTTTGGCTGATCCTGGTAGTTGAGGGATCAGGCCAGAGGCCCAGGAACCAAGGGAGCCTAATGGAGATGAAGCTGGAATGTTGTCTCTCCTCTGGTTGGCTTTTCTTTCTCTCCTTTCCCCTTCTTTCTAACTGGAGGTTGACTAACCTTTTGGTAACCGTTTCCACTGTACATCCTTTGCATCATCAATCGCAGTGCCAGTGACAGGCACCTGTGGGAGGGGGGTGCGTCACAGGGCAGGGTGCGGGGAGGGATTTTGAAACTCCTCTGACCTGAAACTCCTCCCTGTGTTCAATCTGGATCGTGGCAATGCCTGCACACCCTAGTCAGGGATTGGCCCCTAGGCGTTGTGTGCGCACACGCACACCCAGTGACAAGACTCTTGTTCCCGTGAGTTTACGCAGTTGAGAGACCGCAGGGTGGAAGTATCAAACAGACGGGACCTCGCAGCAGCAAGTCATCAATTGGGATTAGTGCACACCATGTATGTGCCCCCTCTTAAGTGACTGGAACGTCTCTGCCAATCCATACGTGTGTGTCGATGCTTCTGTGCATGGTCTCTTCCAAACCCCTGGATCCCCCAACCCCACTGGACAAGACCCTGCAGAAAAGCAAATGCCATCCCTGCGGTAGATGGTGTAGTAGTTGTTTCCAATCCATGACTTGAGGGTGACCTATTGCCCCCAAAGCTGATGTTGCTGGTGGCCCCAGGAAATTTTGGCTTTTCACAGATGTCCTGCTCCAGGCGGGCAGAGAGGGCTCAATCTGATGTTGCCCATAGCATGTTACTTAGTATTTTTCTTCACAGGCCAGCGAAGGTTGAAGAACGCTGCTCTATAGAATGATCCCAAAATGCCTGAAGAGAGGATCTGGCTTCCTTTCACATGGCATAGGGCTTGGGAGTCACTTCACGTAGGGCTTGGGAGTAAAACCCTCTGGATTTTGTCAGAGTCTGTTCCATAAGAACAGTAACTTCTTTGTCCCAGTAACTTCTAGGAAGGCTTAGTTTACACTTAAAGGTTTTGCTGACACAAGAGAAATCATACCCCTACTAGACATAGTTAGGTCAGCAGAAATCCTAGTGTAGACACAGTTGCCAGTCCTCTTGGTGGTTGAACTGTAGTTCACTGGGGAAACTGGTTTGAGGTACACCAGCAAAAGAACATTTTTGCCACTGTCATCTGCCTCTCCCCTGTAAGAGCTCCCTGCATGCTTCTACTATCAAACCTTAGGGAGCGCAGACAGGGCCTAAGAGACATGCCAATGGAGGCTAAACTTATGCAGCCCCCTCTGCTGTGAAATACTTGAGAGCACTTCCAAAAAGATCAGCAGGGCTGGCGTGTTTAACACCTGAAACTCCTTTTCTGTGAGCCCTTCTTAACACAGCCAAGTTCAACCATCTCTTAGTTCTCAGTAGTTCTGGACCACGAGCCTTGTGTGGGCTCCTGTATTCCCCATGCATGTGGCTGTGTAATATTGATTTTTAAACTGCATTCAGCTCAGTCCCTGGGTGCTCATACAATCTAATCAAAACAAGCCAACGAACCCGTCCTTCAAGAGCTAAGCCAGTGATGCTCAGGCCAGGGCTCCTAAGCCACAAGTGGCTCTTCAAGTTGGCACCCACAGCTCTTTGCAGAAAATGCTATCCATTTTTTTCTTTTTTACCTGCCTATATCGGGAATGTGTAACTGCACACTGTCATTTGTTTCTTTTTGAACTGGAGTGTGTTTTCCCCCAAGTCATCTGGGGATGCATAGGTGGTTGTAGCTCTTGTGACAGTCAAGACTGCGGGCAAGATGATGTGCATGTGGCAGTTGATAGCAGAGCAAGCATAGGTAGCATATGCACACACTCAGCTGAGCACAGATGTGATGGGAAAGAGTGTAAGAGCCTCTGTTCCTGCCCAGTGGCCCAAATAATATTAGCTCCATGGAGACCCTGTTCCTTTAAGGAATCACCACTTGCAAGCACACCAGCCCTGAGCCAGTGCTTTGTCCCCAATGTGCACCCACTGTGCCAAGCCCCTCCTGCAGATCCAGCCCCTTGGCTTAGGTGGTCTCAGTGGAAATTGAACTCTTGTGGCAGTCTAGCCCATGCAGTGGCAGGGGAGAGCCATGCCAAGGGGTCCCATGGAGGTCCACACAGATGCCTCTGTTCCAGTCCACTCCCACCTAGCAGGCTTGCCCAGCTCTCCTGGCGTGGGGTGTTTGGATGCTACTTTCTCCTCTGAGAGATGGCAATTGGGAAAGGTTCTGCTCTATTAAACACAAGGGCGATGCAACAGCCTATATCAGCACCTGAGTGACGGCTTAGGATTGGAGAAATCCGACCTGGCTTAAATAGCCAAGACCCCTTCTCCACACGCACACCCCAACGTGCACCCCTTCTGCTCACATGTAGTCCCACACCCCTCGCCACTCACCTCCTTGGACACATGCCACCGAAGAGCCTGCAGCCCTGCTGCTGGTACTCACTTTGCGCGATTGCACGTGCAATTCATGCAAGACTGCTTTGTGCCCAAGTAGCCCTGGGCTCACGGTCACTCCATGGATTCGCATCCGAGTGCAGGCTGCTCGGGTGGTATGAAGGAGCAGTTGTATTATTTGCACTTCCGAGCAGGGCCTAACTAGGTGCCACAGGCAGCCCACACGTTCCCCCTCACACCGCCATGTCCATTCCCGTGCCCCAAGATTGTCATGACAGGGAGACAGACAGCAGCCAGGCTAGGATGTGGCGTGCTTCCAAGGGCCAACCCATGTTCCTTTGAATGTGAAGGGTCACTTTGTTCCTAGCTACTGTAAGTGATGCAAACGTCTCTGCTCTGAGATCATCATAAACACACTAACTGTCTCATTTCCTTTCTTTTGCCCACAGGCCATGAACTTGGTAAGTGGAATTTGAGCTTGCGATTTACTTTCTTTTATTTTCCCCTCTCCCCCTTCCCCCTCTCTCCTGGACAGGAGACGGCCAAGGTAGAACATGTCACATCAGTTGGGTGCACTTCTTCTGAGTCCGGCCCCGACCAGTACCCCAGCACAGTGCTGTTAAAGGAACTGTCTTACAGATACGTTGTGCTAAAGATCCCTTGCAAAAGTGGACGTATTGGCCTGGG